ATTTAAAGACATTTAATTACTCCAAACTGGAGACAAAAAAAAAAACAACTTTTACCACAAAAAAAAACAACAATTCTCATTGGTGCTGATTTTTCCTTGATCAGGTTAGATTGGTCCACGATCCGTCCTCACTTGCTCCGTTCTGAGGTAGCGTCTACTTCATTCCAGAATTTTAGCTTAAATTACAATGGCGTTTGTTTCCTTTTTTTTTTAATTCAGTGAAAACAAATTAAATTTAAATAGAAACATCAGGAGTTTGGCACCAAAACACTGAACAAAATAACAAAAAAATCAACATCAGTCGTTCATTTGACGACCGTCTTAAATAATTCACAGTGTTTTAAGGTTGAAGAGTTCTGTTAGAGTTCTCCAACAGAGTTCTTCACTTCTAACTGGTGCTGGGGAGTACAGCAAATATATATATACTCTAATATATACTGTACTAACAGTGTTTTGTCTTTAGCTAGCCTCGGGGATAAACGTCTCTGAGATGAGAAGAGATCAAACCTGCTCCTGATGAGGAACGTCAGGCTGAGACTGAAACGTCGGTTGTCGTTGCTGCTCTTTGGTTGGAAGTCAATGATGATCTCGTTTCTGAGACATTTCTCGTCAGTCCCTCCAAATAACGCTGCCCCCTGATGGCCACAACATGCGACCCTTCTGAACGAAACCTTTGTTTTGTTTCTTTGAAACTTCGTCGTCCAATCTTTTCACCTTTGGGAATTTGGGAACTCACGCAGTAGTTAATGGTAACATTTTGGTCCCAAAACGTGTTTTTACACCTTCCCTCCACTAGGGTACGTCACATGTCCATTCAGTCTAAAAGGCTGTTGTTTTTTCCGCCGGTTAAAGGCACAAAAAATAAGGGCACAGTGTGGATTCACTGGATTTCCCCGGGGAGTCTCTGTAGGTCGGAGCACAGAAGGTTAAACGTTAGCAAGAACGGATTAGCTTTTCTAATAAATAAACTGGCGTTTTTTTTTTTTTAAATTCGTTCCAAGAATTACAAGTGTAAACTCTCCCCTAAAAGATTTAGACATCTGTTTCCTGGATATGAAAAAATAAAAAATATGGCACTCGTGACTCTTGGCTGAGATAAAGTATCCTCTAACCCCCCCCCCCCCCCCCCCCCCCCCCCCCCCCCCCCCCCCCCCCCCCCCCCGCCCGC